TTTATGGATTTCACAGAATTTAGAGGGTAAATAGAAGACAGGTGATGCTGCAAAACTCTGCATTCACACAGTTCCAGAACATAAGGCTGGTTTCATGTAAAGTAATACATTTTTTAAAAAAAGTATTATTATTATGATTTTATATTCTCAATAGTTAAATTAGATCATTTCGATGCACCTTCTTCTAAAAAAAATTAAACATAAAACAATAACATTTTTTTATTTTTTAAACCTAAACAGACCCCTATAATTTATACTTTTTTTAATTATGTTGTTCGTATTTCCTTTTGTGAATGATTCATTTGAAAGTAAAAATAGTCCTTTGAAGTTAGGATATTGAAAATTACGAGTCCTTGAGGAAGCCCTCAACATTTGATAGTTTCCTTTTGTTCAATTTTTCCTCCAATTTTCCCTCCTTCCCTTCCTCCTTTCCTCCTTTTTTCTTAAGTTTGTATCGATTTCTCCTTTCCTCTCTCGCTTTTCTTTTCGCATTTTCATCATTTAGGCTCTTTTCGCCTTTTAATCTTTTTTATATCCCTCCTTTCATAACCTCTATCACTTCTTGCTCCACTCCTTCTTCTACTTTTTCCATCGCCATTTGATTAAAAAAAAAAGTGCAGACACAGAGTTTCCTCAGTAAATTCATTAATTATCAAACTAATACAGGATCAATTCATCTGCATGGTATCCATCACATCAGTGACACAGTGAATCCAATATCTGATTAGGCCAATATTCATAAACCAATATGTCACTGCAGCCCAGCAGGACCAGTCTGCAGACGAAAAAATTATTTCTTTTTACTATTCATAGATTTCATCTTTGATTTGTGTAGAAATGCATTCTGGGAATGAAGCTGAAACAGGGGCAGCAGTGTGTGAGCAGACATTTAATGGAAGAGGGGCAGAAATTATGAATTAAAAGACAATGAAGGAAATGTCCTGATTATATTTGAGACAGTCTTAAAATTCTCCTGACTCCTGCTCTTTTAATGCTAATGTGAAATCAAACTTTAGATAACGATATTAGGTGGATTCTAAAATAGAGTTAAATGTGTTAAATGTGCGATTTAAATAGCGAAGACTGCAATGGATATCTAAAAGTTAACAGAGAAATATCAGGAAACTGAAACTGTCCATAAAAAAATTTAATAATTTAAATACTTAAATAAAATAAATTACCTTAATTCTACTTTTTTCACACAATTTGAACATTGCGGCTTAAACAATGATGCGGCTAATTTATGGATTTTTACAAGCTAGTGAAGTTCATACTGCTAGCGATCAATGACTTTTTTGGTAGGCTACTGTGTGGTAGACTAGTAGGAGTACTATACAACAGTAGTACTGTCTGTGAATGGCTGTGACTTCTCTGTTCCTGTTTACCTCTGTCGTGGACAAGCACAAAATGAAGGGAGTTAGCCCCGGAGCTAATGTTAGTTTCGGCCCTGGAGAAGATCACTAAGTCTCCCTTGTACATTCCAACTACAGTCGGAGGCATATGATGGTATGTATTCATCTTAACCGATAGTGATAATCACTTCAAAAAATGAGTGGGGAACGTCACTCTTTGCGGAAGAAACATTTATACAAGAACACACCCAAGACCCAATCAATGGTAACAGGCGCTGATAAGTGAACACATGAGCAGCTACATTTGCGGAGTATCTTTGTGCAGTCAGCCCTGGAGGATAGAATTGTCACAAAGCCAGGTGTAAAACGTGACTTGAGATCAATGGGATCTGGAAGTAATGTATGGAAAGTTACACGCTCGTTGCTGGACGTGTGTGTCCGTAGTCCGTCCTCTGTCCATGTGATTAAGTGATAAAATACAACATTCAACCTTGACTTTATTATTATTAAGATAAGTTGGGAATATCAAGTATAAGTTGGGAGTATCAAAATTAATATTGAACTTGAACTTGTTTTTTTTTTCCCAATTTTATGAACTTTATTGATCCCATACTGTAGAAATTTGTGTTATCAGCAGATGGGCTGCAACAGGCTGCCCCTAGGAGGCGCCAAGTATGTGGTCCCTCTGGGAATCGAAACCAGGACTCGCTACATTATGGAACCCCCAATGGTTCCACCAATAATGACAGGCTGTCGTGGAATAGACTGTACTAGCCCACGCGGACTAGACTGCATTGATTCACTACAACTGTAGTGAAATCCAGTAATAAAATGGACTAAGTGGACTGTACTGACCTGTATGTATTCTCAGGTGAACTTTGAGGTGGTGTGAGGTCCTGAATGACTTTCCACAGTAAGGACAGTCCTTTGACGATGGTCCAATGTTTCTCTCTCGGTGCTGAGGCAGGGAAGGTGGAGGAGGAACAGTTACCGAGGTCTTTACCGTGTCCTCGCCAACATCTGCAGGAGACAGATGAGACATACGTTGAGCTTCATATCAGCACTGCTGCTCTTTTTCTGTTTTTTTTTTTTCTTTTTTTCCCCCTCAATATTTCTTAACTTTTTCTTTTCCGCGCACAGTCAAACACATCAGACCCTTCTATCTGACAAAACGCTGACTCTCGAGGAGTTTTTCCACTTGTCTTCAACAACACATCGATCCTGACAGTCAACATCTCCACCCTCTCTGTTCTCCTTCAACACCAGCATTTTCCTTTTTTAGCCAGACTCTCATCAATTTCTATTAAAACTGAAAATGAACAAAAACACCGCAGGAAAAAAAAAAAAAAAAAGGGAGGTAAAAGCGTGTGAGTCAGCATCACACCTCTTCCTGTGTGACCTGCTGCTGACAGGAAGTTGTCTCAGATATGAGAGGGTGATAACGCCTCTGACCCCGCCCCCCCTGCTCACCCTAAAATTAAATAATAAAAATGATGAGGCAGCGAGATTTTAGCTATATGTGTTATCCTCACCGTCATCTGCAAATGAGTGGCAGCGACGGGAGGAAAGTGTGGATGTGTGCAGAATCTGAAGAGATGACGTTTAAGCAGTGATCTGAGCTCAGATAAAGGTAAGAAAAAAAAAATCCTCAAACATTAGGCAAATTAGAGAATGGAGGAATAAAGGCTACACACAGCTTAAACCCGTGGTTCCAAATTATTTTATGCCATGCCCCCCCACCGCCCCCGGGGACAGAAATGTTTTTATGCCCCCCGCCCCAACCCACATCCCCGCAAAATTGAAATACTATTGAGAACCTGATACCATGTATATTTTCATCTGTACAAACCACTGTATGAGTTGCTGCCACCTAGTGACTGGAGGCTTGTTATCATTCAAGCATTACAGCAGGGGTAGACTTATGTCCAGCGTGCCATATTTCACTGGAAGCCCCTTCACTCCCTCCCCCACCCCCCAGGGGACCCGCCCCACTATTTGAGACACATTGGCTTAAACTAAGGGGATGCTGAAGAGAGAAAAAAGTTTATATATCAGAGAATATCACATTTACAATATATTAAGCTGTTTTTTTTTTGTGTGTGTGCCCTTTTAATGCCCTTTTTTGTATTAGATAAAACCAATATACTGCATCTTAGTAATGGTTAAAAGGGAAAAAATATATAAAAGATATAAATAAATACATTACATCAGCACTTAGTTAAACCAAATAAATCTCAACATAACACAGTAAATAAATTCATTTCCTTCCAGTCTGGAGAAAACTGAGGGAAAAAAAAAAATTGAGGCCTTTTTTTTTTTCTTTTTATTGCTCAGTTCACACTTCCTTTCAGTGGGGAGAAAAGTCAAATAATGTTAAACTGAATGGAAAAACCTCCGTCAGCAAGAGATGGGAGACACACAGGAGCCCATTCAGCAGCAGCAGTAGCGGCTGCGGAAGCGATGATGGTATTTTTTAATAAGCACATGTTTGACTGTGATGTTTCTTGTTTTTTTCTTTACACAAAAACACGATGCAGCTAAGAGACATTGACAAAAGCCGTAGAAAATGGATGCCTAAATATTATATTTTTGATTTTTTTTTTTTTTTACATTTTGTGCAACTGTGATCTGATTCTTCATGCCACTGAGCTAAACTGTCTCACGACTGTCTTAACTGGTATAGATTTTAAGTCCAGCACCTCATGTACAGATCACATCTAAACATTAAAAAGGCATAAAGGCATGGAGCTGTGTTTGGTTATTTAAAACATACTTTTCTCTTCTAAAAATCATGTTTCCTGTACAGTTGTTTTGTGCTTCGATGAAGATTTAGTTTTTTTTGCATCAAAACTACCCAAATTATTTTATCTCAAAATCTATGTCCAATCTTAAGATTAGACCAATAACTGAAAAACAAAAACAAAAAGACCATATGTCCCACTTTTCTCTCATTTGGAAAGTTCTGCTCATTTTTGCTTGTTAAGTATTAGGTGTCATTTACTTCTATTTAAACTAGGGCTGTCAAAATAAAAAAAAATGCTAATGGGGTTAATTTCGTGAAGATTAATTATATTCATTTTTTTTTAAAGCATTTTAACACACAGTAGAATAACATGCAGTATGTATTCAATACAATCCACTTTCCATCCATTCAACATAGCTCCAATACACAATCAGTAAACATGTTATTTATACACACTAAAAGAAAAAGGTTCAACTTAAGGCTTGCTAAAGAACAGCCTCACTGGGTGCAGGGCAGTAAGTATGTCTACGGCTAACAAGCTAACTTCTGATATTCCACTGGATGTGTTATGTCTGCGTTGCGGCTCCGTTGTGCCGCTGCATTTAGCTGCTATTCTAATCAGTGACATTTACTCCACCTCCAGACTACAGCGGACTGGATAGGTAAGGATGTTGCATCAGTCTAAACAGATCAGATCGCACCAGACTGGAAATTAGCATGGTATCAGCACCCAACGTTTGCTAACCTTCAAAATAAAACCCATTGTGTGGATCAGAAATCACAACCCTATATGCCAATTCTGATGACACCATGTGAGAAGTCAAACAGCCAGAGAGTCACATTGTTGACTTTGAGCATCGACGAGGAGAGACTCATTCTTTACATACACCACGGCTCTTCCACGAACTAAACTAAACTAAACAAAGTAAATTGTTGGTTGTTGTTGTTGTTGGTACCTTTATAAAGTCAGTTCATCTCGTGGTCTCACATGCTTTACGGAATTATAGCAGAACACACTCCATTACATTGGACCAATTAAAAGTAAAATTTTCCATTTCTATGCAGATGACACTGTATTCTACTATCAGGGAAACAGGAAAAGATCCACTGTTTTTTTTTTTTTTGACAGAGTACAGGAACAACTTGATCATCTGCAACTTGTTCTAATGACGAAAAAGAAAAACGAAAAGTCCTTCATCGCTTCTAACAAAGTAAAAATCAGCACAATAAGGAACTATTTTAACCAAAAGGTAATCAAACAGAGTTGAAAAGCCAAAGCTCTTATTGGGATTTTATTATACAAAATCTCAATTCTCCCTTTATTTAAAACAGAAATCAGTGGACTTAACTTTTTTACCAACTGTGTTCAGACTATGGAGTCATTGGTCGTTCCAGTGATTGGAACTAAACTAGGGAGGAAGTCTTTTTAGGTTTTCAGCTCTGGATGCCTGGAACAAACTCCAGTTTGACCTATGGTTGGTAAGCTACAGTATATACAATTAAAAGTAAACTCCACATAAAATAAATGTGACCTCTGCATTTTACCCATCACCAAAGTGACCAGTGTGAGGGCACGATGCCATGCTCAGTGCACCTAAGTGGTAACTTTGCAGCTTGTGGACTTGAACCTGAAACCTTCCGGACCAAGCATTTTATTTGATTGTATAATTCCCTTGTGTTTTCTCAATCGTTGTATCCATTGTAAATTGAAAAGAGATTGTGCCTCTAAATGTGACCATCCTTGGCATTTTATTTGATTGTATAATTCCCTTATGTTTTCTCAATGGTTGTATCCATTGTAAATTGAAATGAGATTGTGCCTCTAATTGTGACCATCCTTATTGAAAAGAAGTAAAAAAATAAAAATAAATAATAAAACAACAGATGAAGACTATGCCATATCCAAGTGACCTTCACTGTAAGATAAGTCACTACTGACCTGCTGAATAACCCTTGATTTTCTGTGATAGCTCGGTACAGTACCTGTTTACTGTGGGCTTGCGTTACAAAGATAACTTTGTAACGATAATATATAAATACCAAAGTACAATCACCCTCTCCAATGTATGGTCCGTTAAAGCACCCAACTGCAGACATAGTTTACTCCTCATAAATGTACTGTGAACGATTCAGTATACACATACTCTTTTTGGCAAAGACTACTTACATCATGTTACAGACCAGTCCACCTGTCCAATCCAGATGGAGGCAACATTGAAAGCTCCAAAAAAACACAGACATTACAGACCCACACAAAACACACACACCTGTTTAAAAAGATGACAAGCCACTCAAAAAAATGAGTTTCACCTGAATTGAACCAATAAGGGCACAGAGACACAAAGCCACACACAGATACATACACACTGTTACCTACACACACACAGAGAGAGAGAGATGCATATGCTTTCACACTGTCGGTCAGATGAGAGTAGTGATAGTAGATGAGTCAAGTAAAGTCAATTAAATTTTATCTGTCAGCAAATTCACAAAACACATTTGCATGTATTTGAAATTAGATTAATTTTATAAGATTAGCGATATCCTTAAAAAAATTTTTTTTTAGTTTATGTACTGATCGGTCAAGAATCGACTACAGACGTGCTCTTCTGACTCACAGACGTGAGACTAATGACAGAGACACAGGTGAGGGTGATCACACTGATTATTCCCACACAGACAGCCCAAACATAGAAGACTTGATCACATGGAGTCACTGCTCTCCTCTGGTCAGTGGTCACATGACATGAATGGATCAGGTCAATTTTACATTACTGGGGGGGTGAGGGGTGTTGCAGTACAAAAGTCACCCTGAAATTGCAGAAGTGACACATGAGCTTTTTTTTTCATTTATTAATTACTAAGGATACTTTATGAGAGTAATCGGTACTCGTGTAAGTAACGATATATATCAATACTACCAAAATAATACTCCAATCATCCAGACCAGGAAAAAGTGAGAAAAAAAGCAAGAGTAACGTAAATTATGTTTATCATTGTTACACGTTTTTGTTTAATTTAAACCTCACTATAATCCTGCAAGAGTCAAGAATCAAGAAAAATCAAGACTCTTTATTTGTCACATGACATTGCAGACAATGAAGAACTGCAAAAATGCAGAAATACAAACAAAACTACATTTTTTTTTTTTTGCTTAAATTACTTTCCATTAATAGATGTAGAAATAAACACTTAAAAATGAGTTTTACGAAATCATATTTAGACACTAACTGGCCCAACACTGATGCTCAAATATTTCTCAAAACCCAAAACCTCA